AATTATATTAGCATCCGAATGGGTTTATGTTTTTGGGCCGGGTCTATAACCGACGCTTCGACGGTCGAATTTGAGTTTGTTTGTTGTCTTTAACGGTATTTCTCTTGTGATGGCCTTCATTATACAATATCCACCTTACAATCAGCTACGTCACTTCCGCATGAACTAGTTCAGTTGTGAGAGGAATCGAAATATTGTGAAATAACTCTGGTTTCGAATCTGTCAACATGTCTGGTGTCTGGTGGCGTGCCTGTAATTGTTTATTATTGCTCGTATCAGTTGATTGTTGCTGATTTATATGCCGAACCAGTGGCAGTGCTTTCAGCACGCGTCGAAAGTAAATTTCGAATTGCAGCAATTAAAATGCCAAAAACATTCATCCATAAACGAGAATCACTCCACCAAACTGCGCAATTTTTTTTATTGAATAAGAATTTATATAAGAAGTCAGAATAAAAAAGAATTACTTGATAATATTTATTTTGTTGTTTAGTGTAAAAAGCTTTGTTAAAAGCTTAAACTGGGTAGTACATTTTACTTTATTTTACCCTAAGCCCGGCTTAAGCTTTTACAAAGCGAGCTTAGTGTAGCTTTACATATCATAAAAGCTAACTGCTATATCACTGCGATTAAGCTTATTTAGCTGCCTAAGCTTTTTATAATTTTATAAATTAACTGACATTAGTTGGAAAAAAACTGAGCTCAATAACCATTTGATTGTCCGGTAGAATGATTATTTCTAAGCACGTTACTTACTCTTTTTCCGCCCTGATCTAATAGGCTCAAAGGTCAGGTGGAAAAGATTAAGAAACTTTTATTTTGAGAGAACTGTCGTGCGTAAGAACGTTCTTTTGAACTTTAGGCTTAGACATTTAAGTAAGCCATTTTATACTAAACTTCCACTTCGGTATAAGTGGAGTCTGTCGTTTGCCCTGAAAGGCCAGAGAACATACGTAGAATTCACTATTGTCATCTTAAATGGAAAAAAATTAAGCATGAGACTATCATAACGCCTGACAATTGAAGATTTATTTCCGCAATATGCGAACTTCAGCGGCCTGTGCTTCCCTGAGTAACCCGGCGAACTTAAGAATGAGTTTCAGAATTTTAATATCTGCGTCCAATTTGAATGCCTTTTCAGCCACATCACGTAGACCCCCAGTTATTGTCCTGAATAAAGTCTGTCTCATAAATTACCGACGATTCTTAGGGCCTGATAGTCGTCACCATTTCCCTGAAGTGGTGACGTCATTCAATGGCTGATCTTTTGGCAACAGCTCTTGGCCAATACTTTCACCATTTCGGCCACACTGCAAGAAGCCATATGCATTGTCTTAGAGCAGCAGTTTCAGTTTCAGTATTTGCTCATGGCATTAACAGCAATTTGGCCAGGCTGCTAATTGGCCCGAAATGTGGTCGAATAGGTGGCCAGGCAGACACAAGACATTGCACAATGAGGCCAATCAACTTGGCAAAAATCTGACTCAAATGCCGTGCATTGTGTGCCAAAAAGTTTTCCTCCGATAATTATAGACAGCTATCCGAAATGTTGAGCCCACTCCGAGTCCGAGCCCGAGTCGGAGTCCAACATCGCTCGACTAGCTTTCGGTTTTCATTTGATTTGATTTTATGTAGCCCGAATCTTTTACTCATTTGCAGGTTTACAAAAGACCTTGACACATTTGTGACTAGTGTGTGTGTGGCTTGTTTCTTGTATTTTTGGTGGCTTTGGCCAAAATCTTCAAAACTATTCAAGCCAAAGACGAGTCGAGCTAGATTCATATTAAAGGCCAGCTTCATTTCATATTCAAAGTGGACCAAGCAATTACAGCAAAGACAAGCAAAACCGAATGAATCGTTTGCCATTTCGTGGAGATCTCTTGTTTTAAGGGCGTCTGCTACAGTCTCTAATTGTAATTAATTAAGCTGCTCACATTAGCAGCATTTTGCATGTAGCCGCTCAAAAGTAACCGCGCCACAAGCCACACTCTCAACTCGGAGTTGCAAAAGTTGCATAATATTTGGCACATGTGAGTATCGAATGTGAGCTTTGCAGCAGCTTTAGCTTTACACTCCATTGCTCTGAGCTGCAGTGAGCAAAAAAGGTTGTTTACATGCAGTATGAAATATCTTTTTTTATTACTCCCCACTCCAGAAGTATATCCACAATTTTATCGTTTAAAATCAATAACCCAATGAGTTTATAGACATTGCCCAAAAGCAGCTAAAAGCCTAATTAATCAAAGGAGTAGTACCGCCTCTGAAATACCCCTATCCCCTTGCTTCTGAAAACCATAAAAGGCGTAACCGAAATAGGTGATTAGGACACAGCACGAATACGCGAATGAAAACGAGTTTCAAGCGAAAGGGAAATTTTATCGCCGAGTGCAATCCGTTTTACGAGTTTGAAACTGCCGACTCAGAGTCAGACTCATCTCGTCGCGATGCAATTAATTTTAGCCTGGCTGGGGCTTCTACTACCAGTACGGAATGCCTGGCCAGCTTCCCAGCCTACTTCCTCCTGATCGCAATACCCGACCTTGTGCCCGTTTTCACAGCAGCATAAACCAAAACAGAGCCAGGCCAGAGCGAAATGAAGTTTTGTTGGCTCAATGGGAAACAAGACTGGGAATGGCCGGGCTATAAAGGCGTTGGTGAAGTAAACAATACGAAAATGTAGATTTGAAATGTGCACATCGCAGAGCCAGACAAAAGGCCAAAACAGAAACCGAGGCTCTAAGTAATGTTGTCGAGAGTAAAATTGATGCCATGGCAAAAACCAAATGTTGTCAACCAATTTCTTTAATACCTTGTTGCCATTTTCGCGGCTCGATGTAACTGTTGAAACTGTTGTTGTCGTTGTCGTTGCTGGTCTTTGCCACTTTTCCGAGCCGAAGTCAACAAACTGGTCCAAGGCGTTGTTGTTGCTGACGCAGAATGACTTGTCAAAAGCCAAAAACAAAGAAATACAAAAGACAAATTTAGAAAATTGCAAGCTTAGTTTTTGGGATTCGTGTTTGGTCGAGAGTAAGCCGAAAACAACAGTTTCGAAATAGGTAGCTCGGGAGACTTAAAAGATCGAAGGCTTAGATGGCTTATATGGTTTCCACTTGGCTAAGAAGCCACCTCTTTCTGAACAAGTGCACCATGAGCTGGAAGTTAACTGGAAGCCACAGTGAAGTGTCCATTTGATGACTAGCATTATGACTCATAAACACTATAAGGCCGTTGCAACATAGCCAAGTTAATGATGAGGAGCCGTCTGGCTGGATCGGACTTTCAGGGCTCATTAGCACGTTGCTTGTCGTATTCCAAAAACCATGTCAAGTGCGACGGCGACGTATTTTGTTTATTTATTTCACGACATACACGCATATTCGCGGCAATTGCTTGTATTTTAACTGCAATTATGTCCATTGCACCGGCAACGAGGATGTTTACAGGCTCATCAGTATCAGTCAGCCGAGAAATTGCTTTTATGCGACTCATTAAATCCCGGCTGACAGCCAGGGCGTGTGATCAATCTGGGAAAAATAAAATACTCGATTTTATTAAATTTCGATTTGGGAACCAGATTGGGAGCTCGCTTGACGGGCAGATATTATAATGTATAGCATGCGACCTTGCTGGTTAATTGTCGTTTAATAGCAAAAGAAAAAAAGGTAAAACCGCGCTGGGCCGTCGAAAACGTCGAATCGGTTATTGTACCGCCGGCTTGGCACTGACCATTGGCCACCTGCTTAAGATGTTCGAGCGCGATTTGTTGCAACACCCGATTTGATGGCACATTTGGCCAGAAACACCCACAGCTTCGAGTTAGCTGTGCATTTTCAATGTCAGCATTGCGCAAAAGTGGACAGCTTGGTCGCTTTGGACTTTTTTTCTTCTTGTACTTTGGTTCGTTTTTCTCTAACACAGCAATCGCCCTTAGTCACGCCCTTAACGCCGGCTTGTTAATTTTTTTTTCGACGATGACATTGAAATTGTGCAATAAGCAAATAACAAAATTTTAATATAGACATGTTTATTGATTTTGCGGCCTGGCCAGTGCGAAGCCTGTCCATCACAGTCCATCACAATCGATACAAATCGGACAGTCAAAAAGCATTCTTTTTGGCACATTAATTATAGTAATTAAGGCATTTAATTTTGCCTTGGCCAGCTGCGAAAAATATGTGAATAGAGTCGGAAGGTAGCTGGTAGCTATCGCTCCATTAATCTATTGCTGGCGAACTTTGGTCCAGTTGCAGCTCACATTGGCCGTAGCTTACATAAACAACAATGTAGGCAATCCTAATTAAAAGTGCTCGGGAATTTTAATGAAATTGCAATCGCCATTACAGTTCATGAAATTCCGAAAGCCAAAGCCAAATGAAGCCATTAACCGATCTGAGAGCTGCAGTGAATGGGTGAGCGGCCTTTGGGCTGTGGGCTTTTGCAATTCTTGCCGCTCAAAAGTGGGAAGAAGAGCCAGAAGCGTTGAAGGTCGCCGGTGCATTGCATAAGCGCTTAAACGTCACAACAACGACGTAAATAAAGAAAAAAACCCAGAAATCGGGGCCCTTTTGAGCGGTCGGGTTCCCCCTTTTCGGGCCCGAAGGTGAACCGGCCGAAAGGTGGCAGGAGCGAAGCCAACAAACCTTGCCAGGTGCGCTCATTCGGGCTCATTCCACAAGCTGCCACAAGCTACTCAATCGCCTCAAGTTGAGTGAACTAGCCAACGAGTCGAGTGGAATGGCCGTAATGAGCGGTGAGCGCTGAGCGGCCAGACAGGTGTTTTAGCTTTGCTTTGGCTTCGCCTAGCTTTCAGTTGAGTTTCTGGCAGCAAGGCAGCCGCAAGTCCAACGTCTACACGCGTCTCAAGTCGCGCTCGAAACGCACGTGCAAAAGTGCAATAGCTTCGCTCCCGCTGGCTCCCTCTCTGCCACTCCACGGCTCTACTGCTCTCCGTCTCTTTCATTGACAAAGTGTAAAGTGCAAAGCTAGCAACGGCGACGCCAACGCCAACGCCAACGTCGACTCCGACGCAGCATCAGATCTGCTAACCTGGCTCAGTTCAGCTCAGCTCAGCTCTCGGCCATCTACTGGCAGTCAGTCTTAGTCGAACCTTTCAGCGCAACGCAAGTGCCTCGCAGCTTGCTCGGGATCCGCGATATTTCGGTGAACCCCCTTGGCTCGAACGATAAGTGGATTGTGTCCGGTACAGACTCAGATATACTACCAATCCGATAGATACATACGTATTTGCTAGCGAGCAATTGATCTATCCAGCGCGTTCGCGTTCGTTTCCTAAGTCTTTTGTTTTGCCAGCATCCCAGGAACTGGAAGTGGATTATCGCAACAGCGAAACGACATTAAAATTGTTTGCCAACTAAATACACATATTTAGAACGCGAATTGTAAGTGTAAATTTGCTAAACAAACAAATGACTTGGCCGGACTTTTTGGGAATTGTCGAACTTGCCCGAACCACACGTTTCAGGAAATCGTTGCTCAAACACGCCGAAAACGGCAGGCAAACAGAGTCGAATGGTGCTCAAGCAAATAGCAGCGAATGGGGAAGAAATGTATTCTTTGCTGAAAAACAAATGGCTGCCTGGCAATTACTTTGTTCGCCAACTTCCACCGCTCAGCCGCCATCGTCGAGATCCACATCATCAATAACAAAGTGCTGGCTGCTCTTCACGCCCCAATATCCCGGGGCCGGCTATTCTTTATTCAAAATGTTCAAACGCGTGTGCTTCGCACTCGGCATACAAATGGGCGACCGATCGGATCGTCATCGTCTGCCCAAACGCCTTTAGAATGCCTATTCTTTGCCGTATGAGCAATCCCCTCTCCCTCCAGGCATTGTTACACTTTTTAGTTCCCCTGGATGATTGAATATTACAGAAAAATAAAAGCGAATTGGAAAATGTGTTCATAATACCAGACATTAGCTGCCATTAAAATGGTCCGATGTGTCATTTATGCAACCATTCGAGGCCCGATAATATCGCAAATGCACTTTTCGTATTTTTCTTTTTATTGATTGACCCGTTAAGGGGTTTTTTATGGATCGTTGAAGAAGCTTTTGGAAAATGAAAATGAGGGGAGAACCCTGTCATTGCGCCATTTTTGTTATTCTGGCTGGCTATAACAGACCTTTTGTTGACTACAATAAAAAAAAAACACACGCTAGCAAAACAGTTAAAAACGTATCTGAACCTACGACCCCTTCAGATTTTAGTTAATAGCTGTTTGGAACCTTAGATCACCACATTCCGCCCTATAGATGCGGCGTTTGTGTGAGTGTTTTAAGCAAATTAACGACTACCTTCCAGTTTCGCCCACCAGCAGAATGCAACGATAAGAGGTCAACAACAATCGGAGAGCCGCAGGGAATCATTTAGCCAGTTCTAGTCAATCCCTCTCCATGTATTTGCACTGGACTATCGTTAGCAATTCGAGCAAAGTTCAGTGTAATTAAGCGCTGTGACTTTTTCAATTTTCATTGCTGAAGTGCAAACACATATATACGAGCAAGCGGCGTGGAGAATCGGACGGTGGAAAAGCTTAATAATAATAACAATTATTCGGAGCGCTTATGTCTTACGATAAACTGCATTCATCGTCATATTTTGTGCACCCAGAGACCTTCGCGGAAGGCCCTGAAATTAGTTGTCAAGGTTTTCGCCCCACCACTCCACTCGATTACCCGTGTGCATTTCCGAACTGTGCAGCATTTTAAGTTTAAACTTGAACTGGTATTTTGGACTTGGGGTTTTTTTCACCGTCCGTCTGTCTTTCTTTCTTCTCGTCTCAGTTCGGTTTCTGCGATTTTGGGGCCTCTCAGTCCCAGTCAGTCTTTTTATCACGTCGCAGCTATGCTTCGAGCAGAGTTCAAGGTGCCTCTAGTCGGCTCAGCAACAGTACGATGACAGTTGCGGCCGGATCTTTGAGGTATAGATATAGACGTGATATAAACATGATTAAGCCATAAAAACGGTGCGACATTTAATTAATACCAAGGCGGCAGCTTGACCGCCATTAAGTTAAAGCTTTATATAAATAGGCAGAACTCTAGATAATTCTACTGGCATACCTCTAACCGATTCGATATGATTGGGGGGAGCGATTGTTAAGCTAATTGCGAACAATTTGCATTGCTTTAATCGACTTTAAATGAACGGTTAATACTGCCCCTCAATGATTGCCCTGAGTCGCATAACCGATTCAATTAGACTTAAACTGGACTTAATGCTATGGGCGCTACGGTCACATATTCTACAATGGCTGTCCAGCCTTCCCCATTGTCTAATAGCTTAATAAAGTCAACTTAGCATTGTGACATTTCTGGTTCAGACTTAACTTTAAGGTGGCAACCTTTAAGGAACATTACTGATTCAAGCATGTGGCAATTAACCATTTTTAAAAACTGAGACACACATTCCGTGGCAGAAACAACATTTGTCGCAGTTCACGTGACCCCTTCTGAACTCCACTCCCCCGGCCCGACGATTGTGCAACTGTGAGACCCACAACAATTGAGAAAATTAAATATTAATTGTGGCAATCGGACATTCTCTTTCGAGTTTTGCCAGGAATCGGGTTATTGACTGGAATCGGACTCTGGACTGGTTTGGGGAGCAGCAATTGGAGCAGCCACAGCCACTAGACCAGAGCTACTGGCCAGACGATGAGGCTGGTTCAGTTCCCTGCCAATGGCTGTAAACTGTGGGCCAATCAATCCGATCTGTCGGGATTATCTAATACTAGTTTAGTGCGGGTGACTAGTGCTCGACTATTTATTTATTTTTGGCCACCAGCCACTGGCTTCAGAAAAGTCTAAAGACCTGTTGCAGAACCAGTTGCGAGCCAGCACCACCACACGACTGGTTTGCCATTTGCAGAAATGCCCAAAAGCCCGCCTCGAAGAAGTCGAAGAAGTGGCTGCCACAACTAAAAACTGTGTCGCACACAGTTGCACGAGGCACAGGCATACGTGCCACAAATTATGTCATCGGAAAAGCCAGTCGAGGAAAATGAAAACAACTTGGAAAAACGCGGTAAGCCAGAGGAGGCCTCCCTATAGAGATCGAAAGTATAGGCTTCGGGCCAAAGCAGTTCTAATAGGTTCGGCCTGCCTTGGGGGGCCGTCCTAATGTCTGTCACATGTCTCAGTGTTTTTTGGCCAGCGGATGGCTGGCTTTATGCCACACACGTAGCCATATCAGCATACGAGCCGCATAAAGAGTTTTAATTTTAATCAGCAGGCCTAAATGGGTTTTCCTGTCTGCACAGAGCGCGTCACAGCTGCTGAAAAGTCGTTCAGCGGTTGCATTGAGATTGCCTCATTGAAATTTAAATTGTATATGAATAAACTTATTCATGCATTGTCTGAGCAGTGTCTGCAGCTGGCTGAATGCTTTCATGCTCGAGCGACCTGCTGATTGCTCAATGTACTGGCTAAAGCGGCTTTATGGCTTTAAAGTTTTAAGCAGTTTTCCTGATTTTTACATTTTATTTATTTGACACATTTTCAAATGTCTGGTAAAATCCCATTCAATACACTTTATTATTTATTACCAGTTTTTAGTCTCTAGTGACTCATGAGGAGGATGTTTTTAGGTTCTCCACTTAGCACATCTGATGACGAACTTGCAAACGCGTGGAGAAAATTTTCCGCTGCACGGGAAAGCACCGGAAAGACATTGCATGCCAGCCTCTGTTGACCTTGGCAACGCACTCGGCATGCAAACTAAGCATCAGCAATCAGTTGTTAAGAACTCGATTCGATTGTTTTTGCTTCTCCTGCCTTGTTTTGAATGCTTAAACTCCAATACTGAAAAACATCTCCAAGTAGCTGGAGATTCATGTCCAAAAACATACTGAATCCAATGTCAAATGCGTACATTGCTTTCGGACTCAATTATTATTGTTATTATGGCTGTTGTTGTTACGCTGAACTAAGCGGCTTTTGGTCCGTTCGCATATCGAATCGCTGCTGCCCCCTCAAGAAACACACAGTTCACAGTTTTCTTTGAATCGTATAATGCTCTGCAGTCATATAGCATGACTTGGCGCAATGTTGTGGTTATTAAATACCGAAAAAACAACAACAGTGGCAAACACCGCAAGGTGTTGATTGTATAATGTGTTTGAGTATCGATTTGATATTCAACATGGAATGCGATTCACCGGTGGGGAGAATCTGCTTTCTTAGGGAAGACTTATTCTTTCAGGCAATCAGCTTGGAGAATCGGTTAATTAAGCTCCTTAGGAAGGGGAGTCATTGAAGAATTCTTACCCATCCTTTCGACAATCATACAAGATGACTGCACAAAATTCCAAAGTGATCAATGTACAACATGACGTATGCGCAATGCGCAGCGAGGCAGTGAGGTGAAAGAAACAAAAGCCGGGCTAACACACAACGCAAATAAAAGCCCCGGCAAGCTGGGTAATAGCGGCAAGCCCTCCGAAGTCCGGCCAATGTATAAATCAAACAACAATTTACGCTCAAACATGATTATTATTTATACATTTCAGCAATGTGTGCCTGAAACACATAAAACACAGCCCCGCATCCACCTGGGCAAAAGATTGCAAAAGATTGGTCTCTAGCCTGCCCAGCAGCGAAGTAAAAGTAAACGCTTAACAAAGTAACTAGCATTAGACAAAGGCAAATAAAACATAAGAAATAAACAGTGAGCGGTAGGCAAAGGCAAACAAAACAACACCCACCTCCGGAGCACCAAAAAAAAAAAACTACAAAATAAAATGCTGATATCAACGTAAGTAAATTCGTGGGTAAACGTGCCGAGATTACGGCCATAAATTGCAATCAAAGCGCGAAACAAACGCAATCATTTGGTAGTTTTTTCCTCTATTTACTCTTTTATTTTTGTAGTTTTTTTTGACCCACTGATGTTGACCCACTTGTGGTCGAGTCAATCGCTGCCTATCAGTCATTGGCTGAATTCGGTTTTTGTCTTCCAGTTTCCTGCTGTCAACGCCCGATCTCGCCCGGCTTTAACACTTGTCGCCCCATTAACATTGCATAATTGAGCCTCGAGCTGATTTGGCTTTTCCAAGCCAAAGCGCTTCGCCCTTTTGCGGCCATATTTTGTGTCTTTTTGCTGTATTTTTTCGTTCAACTTTGCCTTTGCATATTTGCGAGCCGGGTTGAGTCAAAATACGACCGCATTTCTCGGCGGGGCGAACAAGTTTCCAGTTTGTTGTAATTATGTCAAATTCCAATGGGCCCATTGCATAATCCCCGGCCGTATCAACGCCATCGCGATTGCCATTGCGAATTCATCTTCTGGCACTCATTCCAACTCATCTTAACTCATCTCTTCATCGTCACTTGAGCTCCGGCACTCGATTCAAGTGAGACAATGTCTGGGTATCTCCCGCAGACTGTTGCTCATAACAGCCCACTGATTTATTTGGCAAATGACGGGTCTGTCATTTCAATGGCTTCCTCGTTGACTTAAGAATAGAATCTCATAATTATATGCCACCGACAAGGCAAGCTAAATAGTATAACAAAAGTCAATTACACGACATTTTCATCTTCCGCGTGTGGCCGCACTCGTATGGAAATGGCAAAAAGGTGTTTTGCCTACCAATACCCTGTTACCAATAGCCGGTATTCGTATGGAATTCCCCCACAAAGTCTGGCCGCAAGATCCCACCGCTTGTTCCTTGGGGATCGGCGTGCTTAACATTCAACACATCGCCACAATCGATGCGTGACAGACTCCCGGGCTTTTGAGCGGAGCCAGGAACAGTTCAAGTGCCACAATCGATGTTGTTTACCTGGCATTCCGTGCCTCTCCCTGGGCTGATTACCGGCGATTAGGCGGCTCAATCATCAATGAAATCGCTGCACGAAATGCATCTTCAACTCTTTGGTTGTGTAACTGAGTCTGAAGACTCTGCTCTCTAAGGCGGTCTTAATCTCAGAATGACCTCACTGATCGGCACTCAGGTGGGAGTCACTCTGAACTTTGTAAGTCTCCCATATCTGTTTTATTTTTATTTTTTCTTTCTATTTGCTGCGATAATTATAGTCGGCTCGGATTCTAAAGTCCGAAAACACCGGGAAAAATGGCGACGGAAGCGAAAATGTGTCAGTTTTGGCTCATCGCTCATTTTGCAAACTGGTTTAAGGGAAGTGACGCATAAATATCGTTTCGGGGAATGGGTCCATTAGGACAGAAAAATAAGTGCCTTTGAGAAACTATTAAGTGTTTTCCCTTCTATAACTCAAATAGTTATTGACAAGCCCTGTCGATTTCTCACGCCCTGTCACAGGCTGGAGAAATCAGCTAAAAATTCCCAAAAATAAAGATAGAGCTGCATGCATAAATAGCGCTCTAATAGTTAATTAAATTATCAATAAGCATTAACAAACAAAAACACACGCACACCCAACGCCAGTGTGGAGGCCCACATTTTTGGCCATAAATGTCAAGCACACAGTGAAGAGAGGAGGAAAAAATGTCGGTTTGTTGTCATTATAAAAAACTGCCTGGCCTGACCTTGTCCATTGTTGACTGTGCGCACACGAACACACAGACGAGCGAACCCATTGATTTACGCAACCTGCTAGTGTTGTCTTGCGGCTGTGACTAACTCCGGCGGACACAGTACGCAAATCGAAAGACTCAGGCAACGAACTTGAAACGCATTTCGTCAACATCGTGGCACCGGCTGGAATTGCAGCATATCGTTTATGAGTGCGTTTCGTATTCAGAATCCGTTGGGCCCAGCCCCGAAATATGCAAATATTTGATAGGCCGCATAATAAAGCTACTTTATTTTCACTGCAAGCCCGCGCGCTATATTCGAGGATGTTTGCTCTCCACTCAGACCCCCATCGTCCATTGGGCAACCCGCATCGCATTTCATCTCAGCGTCGTGTCTCGTCGTCTCGTGCCTTAAAATAAAATGCAAATATTTGATTCAAATTGTCTGTTTATCTTAACGAGAAGTAACGCAATCGATTAGCAAAAACTCGAGGCAACCTTACCGAAAATCGAAACCAAATCGTTTTCGAAAGCGGCGTCAGCGATCAAAGGCAACAACAACGGCGATCGAATGCGTTCAATCAGTGACCTTGAACTAGTTTCCCCCTTCCAGCATGTTATTTATTTATTTATTTTGGAGTGTGTGTTTCGTTTCTCGTTTTTTTGGTATGACTTGCTCGTTTGCCCCGTCGCCGCTAATGATATGAAAGCCCCGAAAACCCGAAAATAAGAAATAGCTGGCAGTCAAAATATGTTAAAGAGGTGCGAATGTGATTAATTGCAGGCAATTATGGACTTTCTTCTTCTTATCTGTCGGCCAGACCGTGGCTAACAATGCAGTTAACCTTGACCCAAAATCGACGGAGCTTTTTCCCACCAAATATTTGCGATAAGATGCGACGAAGCGCAGTGCGTGCAGCTCGAAGTTAAAAACTGCATGGGAAATTGCATAATGGGCGATGCCGATGCAAATGCAAACGTCGCGGAATGGCAGTTTGCATATTTGCTTAACGGCTGACCAACTTGGTAGTGGATGGCTGTTGGGCAATCCACTAAAGCCAAAGCTGGTCGGACCAGACCTGGCCAAAACCGAATACCAAAAACCATTGCGGCGCCACGATTTGCTCTGTGCGCATTCACTTCGCTGAAACTTCGGCCTACCAAGTGGCCAAAAAGCGCGTTGGGTAAGAGACGTCTGCGAGTGCTCCAACCTCTCGGTTTTTGTTAGTATCTGTGTGTGCCCGAGCCGGACTAAGTATAAATATCGAAATGAAAAGTATTGCCAAGTTGGTCCATTGTTGTTGCTGTTTCTCTTGGCTATGTATTATGATTTTTTTGCAATGTGTGCCGCTGACATAGTTTTGATGGCAACTCAATGAAGCATAGACCATCTACAACACACTCCCTGACCAGTGGCCACTGCCGGCTGATTTGCAAATATAATCATTAATCGTTATGCAAATAAGATATGCGACAGCAGGAAGCTACTAATGGCCAATGACAATTTAAAATTCTATGGATATATTGAAAAACTCGAGTGAGAAACAAAATTGCAGAGTGTGTAATTAAAAGTAGTAGTACAGAAACTGTTTTTACTTTGTATCTTGTCTATTTTCAGACAACTAGTCATTGAAAATTTAATAAGTAAAATGCAAATATAAATGTCTAATACCTTTTAAAAAGACTTTTTAATCTTTTAAACTTAGGACCTTTTAAAACTTAAATGATTTATATTATATAGATCTATGACCAGCTGCTTAGTCACTCACCTGGTTTTTGTGCCTACTTTTTGAATAATTATTCAATTTTAAAGTTTTTCCCTAATTTTGTGTTTTCTAAGGTTCATGAACGAGTGGAAACTTACCAAAGACTCAGACCTTTAAGATTAATACTAATTATAAAGTGATTATAGTTTTTATTGGCCTACTTATACAATTATTTCCCTATCTTTTCAGCATTTCCACAGACTCCGCCATGACGGCCACAAACAACGATGGCGGCACACAGCCTAATGCCGTGGCAGCCTGGGGCGCTCCGGCAAACGGACCCCGGAACACACAGGCCGCCGTATCCGTGCGACATGCCTTCAAGGCCTACGGCAAAAAGAAGAACGCCAACCAGGTGCTGAACAACCTCAACATGACTGTGCCCAAGGGAACAATGTGAGTAGTGTGGGATCCGGGGAGTAAGCCATCAATAAAAGTGAAATGTTGACGGCTCAATTTAGCAAGTTAATAAAATAGAAACGGCGAAAGTAATTAGCACTTAATTTGTGACCCACTAGATCTCGGTTGAGCTCAAATCGTATGCTGGAAGCGATTTCCTTGTGTTTGCGATTTAATTGCACGGTTACAGATCGTTCAAGTCGCCGTAGAATATATATCTATCAGAGGTCACTTGGCTATGCTCGGATGTCTAATTGCGATTTTTATATGTATATACGGCAAACCTGTTCATTGTGGTCATGTAATTGAAACGGCATTTTTGCATGATAATTCGATGCCGCTAACGAGGGTCGTTAGGGAAGTTCTCTGATGCCGGAGAGATGCCCCCGTCGTAGAAGTGTCTTGATCCCAATTAAGCTGCTTCCCAACTGACGTCAATGCCACGGCTAATTCCACACGTCCTAGCAATTAATCCAAAAAGCGATTCGTATGCCAGACAGTGAGGTTATATGGGGATATTCGCGAATAAAACCAATATGCCCGGCAATATTGATCGATTAAGAGTCCGAAGCTGGAAAGCGTTATTGAGATTTCGATTTGTTTGCCTGTTTGTTTGGCGACTTCTTGGGCGTCCGCTTGTGTCTGGTGTTTATCTATCGCCATCTCTGTCGCGGCACATGTGGCTATATCCATTATAATGGAGCCTCCCGCCGTCCAACCCCACCACACCTCACGTGCCTCGTGTGGTCTATCGCCCCGCAAAGACCCCCATATGCGGTTCATGAATTTTTCCCTTTTTTTTTTTTGGCAAACATTTAGGGGCCATAAAAATAAAGTCGTAAATAATTTTTTGTTTCTTGGCTGTGTTTGGCATTGATATGGCTTGAACAGATACGTTATTAATTTTGTTTGTTTCTCGTTTTCGCCATTCTGAATTTTTTATACGACGAATTAAAGCCGTCAATCATGTCGTAACGGATTTTTATTCTACCAAAAGCCAAGCAGTAAAACCTGCCAATGTGCAGCAGTCTTGACCCAGTTAGGAGCTCGGTTCGTTCAGCTTTGACCTAGGTCAGGTCAGTAAGTTAGTCATAACTCCAAGCCAAGTCAACGAACTGCAGGCGACTGCCCAAATCGCTTTCGGTGGGGTTTTCAAAGTCAGCGATTATGTCAATTAAAAACTGGCTGGCCCAGCCAGAGTCTTTAGACACAAACAGGCACTCCTCCCTAGGGGCCATATCAGATGTATTTTGTTTTTAGATTCGTTAAATGGCGCGGCGTGCTAATTATAATAATGAATCCAATAACAGGCCAAAAAGTGCGACCTACGTGCTGCAATAGTTTGTCAAAGGCCGAAAACTCAAAACCAAAAATCAAGAGTCGAAAACACAGTCGAAACAAACTAACAAAGTGATAATCACAATAATCACCGCTACGAAGTTCATCGTGATAATGATAATGTCGACGATGTAGAAACGGTCTTCCACTCTACAAAAAAGAGGCGGAGTTTTTTTTTCTTTTGATAGCTGACTGTGAAAAGACACAGCTACTTTTCAAGGTGAACATTTCGAAATAATTCAACTTGAACTGCTGGAATTAACATTGACATCGCGACAGACACCCGATGTTGCATACATATATAATCATGCTTTTGGTGGCGACAGCTTTCGTGCTGAAATGGCAAGACAGTTTCTTTCTTCTGAGCACATTTTTCGCGCAATTCTTCCATTGCTTTGTCATGGTTGGCCGCCTGACCCCTTGACGACCTCCGGGACAAGTCTGTCACATATGTTATAATCAACTTTTGTTTTGTCTTCTCCAGTTATGGACTCCTGGGAGCCTCTGGATGCGGCAAGACCACTCTACTCTCCTGTATTGTGGGTCGCCGCTACTTGGACTCTGGCGAGATCTTTGTGCTGGGCGGCAAGCCAGGCACCCGAGGATCGGGAGTGCCCGGAAAACGCGTTGGCTACATGCCCCAGGAAATCGCCCTCTATGGCGAGTTCTCCATCCAGGAGACAATGATGTATTTTGGCTGGATCTTTGGCATGGAGACCAAGGAGATCATGGAGCGGCTGCAGTTCCTGCTGAACTTCCTCGATCTGCCGTCTGAGAAGCGTCTGGTCAAGAACCTCAGTGGTGGCCAGCAGCGTCGTGTTAGCTTTGCAGTGGCTTTGATGCACGATCCCGAGCTGCTGATCCTTGACGAGCCCACAGTGGGAGTGGATCCCCTGCTGCGCCAGAGCATCTGGAATCACTTGGTGCACATCACTAAGGCGGGCCAGAAGACGGTCATCATTACCACACATTATATTGAAGAAGCGCGACAGGCGCACACGGTAAATAAACTATAATATTAATCAAGCTAACAATATAATGATGATGATCTTTCAAAACAGATTGGACTTATGCGATCTGGGCACTTGTTGGCCGAGGAATCCCCCAGCGTCCTGCTCTCCATGTACAAATGCATCAGCCTGGAGGAGGTCTTCCTCAAGCTCTCCCGCATCCAAAGCCAGAAGGGCGACGTGACCCATGTGAACTTCAGGTAAGGATCCCGCCCAGGGACTGACAGCATGCAGCACTGACAGTGGCTAACCGGCACCGGCACTCAAAATCTAATCCACACTCCAAATCTAAATCTGATCTTCCCCATCCGACACTCGCATGCTCGCAATCTGTGTTCCACCCTCCATCTGTCACCCTGTGTGTTTTGTGATCATTTCGGGAGTAGTAACAACATCTCGTTGCACGCCATGGCCTTCGGCAGCAAGATGGACAAGCCCAGTTCCAGCCAGGAGGGCGGTGTCGTTGGCCTCAACTTCCACCAGAGCAAGGAGGTGCTCATCAACGACAGCAACGGATCAATCTACACGGTTCGTTTGTCTGCCTCTCTAGAAAGTCCTGATTTAATGTATTTTCTGAACCCTTTGGTATTAGCTTAACCAGGAGCCGTACAGCCCCCCGCCCTCGAGGCGAAACAACAATCCCAATGACGAGGAGAGCTGCCAGGACTGCTACGCCAGCCTGTGCAAGGTCACCTCCAAGGGCAAGATCCGTGCCCTGCTCACCAAGAATATGTTGCGGATGTGGCGCAACGTGGGCGTAATGCTGTTCATCTTCGCTCTTCCAGTCATGCAGGTGATCCTCTTCTGCTTGGCCATTGGACGCGATCCTCAGGGCCTTAATCTGGCCATAGTCAATGGGGAGATGAATAATACGGTAAGAAAGATAATACTTGGAGGCTTCTAATGTCTGAAATAAATCTGAAAAACTTCCAATACTTTATTCATTAGGAAACCTGCTTCTGGGAGGACGGCTGCCACTTCGCCAACCTGGGCTGTCGCTATCTGAATCACCTGAACACGAGTGTAGTTAAAACATATTATACGGACTTGGAAGACGCCAAACAAGCCGTTAGAAATGGTGATGCCTGGGGTGCCCTCTACATCAGCGAGAACTTCACGGATGCCTTTACCGCTCGAGCTGCCCTGGGACGTGACTCCGATGACGAAACTCTCGACCAATCTGAGGTGAAGGTATGGCTGGACATGTCTAACCAGCAGATCGGCGTCATGCTCAATCGGGACATCCAGCTGGCATACAGAGACTTCGCCATGGGCCTGCTGGGACAGTGCGGCAACAATCCCAAACTGGGCGATGTGCCCATTCAGTTCAGGGATCCCATCTACGGCACCATGAATCCCTCGTTCACCGACTTCGTGGCTCCGGGCGTGATCTTGACGTATGTCTTGCTGTTGACTATTTTATGACTGTGTCATTAATGTTTTTAATTGTTTAATAGCATTGTTTTCTTCTTGGCTGTGGCTTTGACGTCATCCGCTCTGATCATTGAGCGTACTGAGGTAAGATCACAAATGATTACTGCTTCCGTAATTATTTAAAATATTAAATAGGGGTCTAGTGATAAATCTTAAAAACATACAAAACAGAAGAGAACTTTTAACAAATGTTCATTCTTTTCAGGGCCTTTTGGATCGTTCCTGGGTGGCTGGTGTCTCCCCCGGCGAGATCCTCTTCTCCCACGTCATTACCCAGTTTGTGGTGATGTGTGGACAGACCACTCTTGTCCTCATCTTCATGTTGGTTGTGTTCGGAGTGACCAACAATGGAGACCTCTTCTGGGTGATTGTGCTGACGCTGCTCCAGGGAATGTGTGGCATGTGCTTCGGCTTCCTCATCTCCTCCGTCTGCGAGCTGGAGCGAAACGCCATCCAGTTGGCGCTAGGCTCCTTCTACCCCACCCTGCTCCTGTCCGGCGTGATCTGGCCCATTGAGGGCATGCCCGTGGTGTTGAGGTGAGCCTGGAAAGATATTTCTTTATATCTAGAGATTATTAAACCTTTTATTCTTAACAGATACATTTCACTGTGCCTGCCTTTGACACTGGCAACCTCATCGCTGCGCTCCATCCTGACGCGAGGATGGGCGATACTGGAGTCCGATGTGTACATCGGATACCTGAGCACGCTCTCCTGGATCCTGGGCTTCCTGGTGTTGACACTCCTCGTGCTGCGGGCAAAACGCGGCTAGGACCACCAGCAAGGAGCATAATTTTAGATGCGTACTTTAGATTGCGATTAGTCGTCCCCGTCGTCTTAGTTAGGTCCTCCTCGGCTTTACTTCTGTACCTTCCTTTCCTCTATTTTTCATACCTTTGTACGTTTATTACTCTTTTATTTCTTTCGAACTTTTCTGCCCAAAACGTCATAAATTATTTAAGCAATGCGCTGGTTTCCTTAGCTTTCCACCCCGCACCCTGTTTACGTAAGTTAAGTCCTGCACGTTTCGTAGTTTAAAGCGTAAGGTTTAGGCACCTAAATGAATTGTTGTAAATATTTTGTGTCACGAATTCAGTAATCCGTTGCTAGACGTCCATTATTTGCAACCCTCTGTTCTAGACCTTTTCTCGATTCCAAAACGGGCAATTTATTACACACACAACAACTAATTTTATATATTTTTCAATGGACTGTGATTGTTTTTATTTACATATTTCACGCGAATACACGTAGGGCAAGCCTAAAGAAAAACAAAAAGATTAAGAAAAGCGAGCAAAAATCAATGGTGGGTTTTGTTAACATTAAGTAGCTTAAAACATTTTTTGTATGGGTTTAAGTTTTTAAGGTAAAACATAATTAAATACAATAATGTAAACTACCCTAAAATATAAAAAAAAGAAATCAATTTCAGGAAATATTATGCACACAGCATAATTATTTCACAACGAAAAATTGAAAAAACAATGAACAACGAACAAGTGAAATGAAAATGTTAGTATTTAAGTATGACAAATCTTTAACTATGTGAACGCAGTTATGTATAAAAACCAATAAAATATGAATAAAAATAAATGGTCATTTATTTAAATATTAGCAAAACTATTTTTTATTAAAACTATTTTTTGAAATGTTTGCTTTTCGAAATCAGGGGCGCCAATTTGAAATGGTCGTTTTCCAACTCTGCTTGTTGTTACTTGTTGTTAGTGTTATTGATATTTGCTCTATTGATAGAATTGCCTTCATTAATACCCGAAAGAGGGCACATATATATACTAATATATACTGCTAATATTAAAACATAATCGTTTTTGTATTTAAAATAATAATTCCAATCAACATTGCCAGATTGCATTAAGAGTGTGTATGTTTTTTCACTGTTTCTCAGCACTTATAGCGTGTTATCGATTGCTATCGGGATAGCTACTCATCTCTAGTAACAGCTGATTGAAAAAAACAAAACAGATCCCCTATCAGAAAAATAATAACAAAGAACTAACGCATTGGATGGACTTCAAGTAAAAGAAATGGATAAATCCAGGTTTAGTGCCTACGATAAGTTTATAGGATTCGTGGAGCAACTGCGAAATACAGAATGCAGGTGGGTTTGCTGAGAACAAAGTACTTTATCTTGGAAGGGAACCGGCAACAGTTTGTTGTTTATCCAAAAAATATGTAAATGTTGATAAAATTCCATAGACGTGGCAATTTAGCGTAATATAAAGTTTAATAAGTGGTTCCGTTGATTGGGTTCGCCCTTAAAAGTGTTGTAGCATCACTCTTAATAGGCTGCATCCGTTATGACATCATTTCACATACCTGTTCAATTAGTAATTGTTTCACATTTTCTGCAGCCAAAAGCAAAAGATCGCCTGCTTTCAGCAGATTGCAGAATGCATAATGTCCCCCTCTCTGGCGGGTCACATCAACTATGCGGCCCACTGTGGAACAGCGACCAATGTCCTGCTGCTCTTCTGCGAGGACCTCGACTCTGTGGTGCGGATGAGCGCCGAGGAGAACCTGAATAAGATCTTCCGGGCGCTGGAAAAGACACGAGTCAGCCGGATACTGATGGATCTTTATGGGGAAATCAAAAGGAATGGTAATCAAAGGTAGGACAATTTAGAAACCCAAAAAGAATAAGAAAATTATAAAAAGTATTTCTTCTAGATCCCTGCGGATATGCCTGAACCTGTTTTCCTACTACGCACCGCAAATAAAGGAGAAACACATTAAGTGGTATGCCCTGCGACTCCTCCAGTGCATATCAAACATCTCCCAGCGGAAGGAAACTCTTCTCCAGGAGACACTCTGCGAATTTGTAAAGAGTTTCGGACGCTATCTGCAGCAGGGCCTCAGTGATACAGAGACAGTTAAACTGTTTGATGTGAGTGTTCTTCGATAACCACTCCAAATGCTATTCTTCGATTTATTTACATTTGTGCTTACCCTTGCAGATATTTGTGGATAATATTGGTTCCGATTGTGCGGTGAAACGACGTTGCTCTGCCCAAAATTGCATTAGTCTGATAGAGCATGCACGCAATAGAAGCCTCATGGCCCGACACGGACTCCACAAAGTGATGGGTAAGAGCTGTACGATACCGGAAATGAAGCGCACGAAGAGAATATCGAGAATCACTAGAATATTAAGGAGAAATATCACTTAAAGCAAGAGAAGGCAAGGCGGTTAAAAAAGTCCCTTTGTAGTTTTAAGAAGTTTATGCTCGTTTTAAACTTTATTTTTGTGTAGAGATTTAAGTTAACTAATCCACTATAGTAAGGAAAATCTCTATTATAGCTGTTAGTCATTTAACGCATTCTCGCTCCGAACATGTCCAGCGAAACGCTCTTTATTCTCATCAATAATGAAAGTTGTGTTTAAAAAGCGTGTAACGGCCGAATGCTAAGCCCCACCTTGATCTGCATATATATGGTTAGGCATACTCGCGTAGTTGGCTAAAAAATGTTTTTAATATTCTAAAAAGCCGCAAATCCATGAAAAATACCATTGCAGAATATAAAACCATTGAGTCGCGAACTACGTGAGAGTGGGCAGCGGGGAAAGCTTTTCGGGTCTATCCCAACTAGTATTGTGAATGCAATCACAGTCACTGGTTTGTTTGTCTGTGGTCTGTGGATACTGCTGGGGCAGGAAACAGCAGGCTGGGGCAGGGCCGGGATGCAATGAAGAGGTGGCACAATAAAAGTAACTAGACGGTTGATATAAATTATATTTCTATATTGCTATTGGTTGCCTCTCCCAATCGATGGACGAGCCATGGAATATTGTATTTTTGTTGCGATTTGTTTTGATTTTAGACAACGATACCGGGAAAGTTTTTATTTTAGCATTTGCTGACTGCAGGACTGCAGCAATAACTGCAGCGGCAACAACAAGAGTCATGGCAACGCTAGCCATGTAAAAATGCTTAAAAATTGCAAACACAAATCATTTTTTATTGAATTTTCATGAAAATATTATTGGCAAACATCGAGGCAAAGGTAAATGCACCTTAGTTACAGTTTCAAATGTGTTTTTTGGGTTGAAAATGTATAAAAGTGAAGAATCAAACAATATCGAATCCACTTCATAAGGGTCAGAGCTAATGGAATTCGCAAACTACATATTAAAGTGGCAAGAGCGATCGGGAAAAGTAATTTATTAAAGTTGATTACTTTTTGGCTTTCATGTGGGAAAATTCAAATTGTGACCACACCTAAGCCCATATAAATTAAGCTTCGGCTTGACTTTACCTTTGCTCTTTTCTTGTCCAAATGTTTACCTTCAAATCAACTCCTTCAACTGCGTTTCGGGCCCTCGCCGGCCCCCTCCAGTCGCCTGGTCTTCTAGTCCTGTGTCAACTTTATGCCACTTCTCGGCAAAAGGCACAATGCCAGGCAACTCTTCAGCGCATCCTTATACAGTCTGGCGCCTCTTTTTATGGGCACCCATCATCATAGCATCACAGAAGCAGTACTTGTGCTGCCTGTATCCCGGTATGCCCCAACAAACAGAAGCAGAAGTAAGGCCCTTGGTCCTTAGACCTCTGAGCCCTCGCCCTGCCGCCAACCTCGGCCCTTTCGTTTGTTTGTCTCTGTCCGTAGACGAAATGAAATTTATGCACTTGGACACTTCCATGCAATAATTCATGCGAAATTGAATCAGATATTCATTCCTGTGCAGCTTTAAAGCGGATAATCAACGTTGTAAACAAATGCAAGCGGAACCAGGAACAGGGCTAGGGCCAGGCCCAGGGAGGTGGCAGAGTTTGTGTTGCAAACTGACTGATGCCAAGCTAAACAAAAATGGCAAATTATTTATCATGTCAACTGTAACACCATAAATAGTGCCATTCAAGTGGCTATTCTCTGAGCAGTTTTTCAAAATCTATGTTTCCCCAAATGGGTCAAGATAGGAAGATGGGAATATAGATTGTGGTTTAGTCGCTTAAACTATTTCTTAATTATTAAAAGCTTCTATACTTAGAAGATCAAGCTACATACCTTTTGGGGAGGCTATAAATTGCAGTATTTAAACGTGCCCAGCATGAAATCGATCCCCGCCTCGAACCGCCCCTTTTTTAGGCTCGGAAATTTTGCAGAAAAGTTCTTGCGGCTTCTGCCGCAATTAATTGATACACATGGAAACAGGCCGCAAGTTACGCTTGCAAAGTCACTTGGCTGCCATGAGGGCCATGTAAAAAGTTTCTCCGGCGAGAAGTGTTTTCAATTTTGCGCCCCAAAGGAAGAAAATGAAAACTAATTGAGTAACAAACTTCCAACATGGCGTTTTGTGATTGGTGGCGTATACGTAATGAAACGACAAATAAGTGGAGACAACAAGAACAAGAACTGCGGGAGGTCTAGCTCCCACTCTCCTCCTGTCTGTCGGTCTGTCGGTCGGTCTGTAGGTCTCTACGGCTGTGGGTATGAGTGTGTGCAGAGTCTATAAATATCAGATGGAAAGTTTTCAACGAGATAAATTTAATTGGAGGCAATTTGTTGCAAAACATATGAGGGAAAAGTTGCCAACAGCCCGAAAGAAGTATGAACTGCAATTGGCCGGCCAAGCACAGAAGTGGGTAAAGGTATCGTTGGCATTGGCATTACCAATGGCATGGTATCTGGAACTTGCTTATTGAGCAAATTGGAATTGCCAGCGCACGCTGCGCAAAAAGTTTGAAGAACGTTTTTAATTTGTATCAACAGCAGCCATAAGTTTCTCTCCATTAACTAACTTATCTGAAACACCCTCCTTTTCGCTTTCCCCCCGCAGATCTTCTCCTCTCGGATCAGCAGACCAGCAGTGTGCTTGGGGCCCTGGGACTACTGCGTCTCCTGTTGCCGCTGCTAATACGCGGCCACCATGTCGATGACCAGGAGGATGCCGAGTCCTTGGCCGGCCAGCAGAAGCAGAAACAAAAACAACAGACTTTGACCTCCGACTGCCGGCAAATTATTGAAATTTATGATTATTGTTTGCACCTGCTGAGCACGCAGCCCACCACGAATCACGCCGTCATAAATGCCACACTGGAGGTCATCAATAGCATACTTCAGGCAGTGGATGCGGCGGCCGAGGGCCACAATCCGGGCCAGAGTCTGGGCCAAAGTTTGCGCCAACTGTTGTGCAATCAACAACTGCAGCACAATGAGTATTTGCGGCGAAGGAAATCATTAAAGAATCAAATATTCCAATTGAAAAATTACGAAGTGGCGACAAGTCAACAGCGGCCCAAGGATGAGGATACGGATGAGGATGAGGACGAGGACAAGGCGGATGCAGATCGGGATGGGGCGACGGCAATGCAAATGAAAAAGAATTCAAATGCAAAACTGCAGCAGCCAAAGTGTCAACAACAACGACGCGAGGT